GACACGAGAAGTGCGGCTGCAAAGTGCCTGCTTCGGCACTACCGCAGAACTTATGAAACTGCGCTACATAGCACTGCACACGATGTGAGATTAGCATCTCACACTAGGACGGCATGGATGTGGATGCACGACGGCACGCGGCTCTGTCGTGGCATGTGTGCTAGTTCTGCAATGCGAACCCACAAACTTTCCGAACATCGCGCGCTCGTGCTCCATGCCAGCGTCATGGTGTTGCACATGTTTCGGTCTTAGCGCGGTTCCCGTGCATACACATAGCCTCGGCTAGGGCCTTGCTTGCCCTCACCCATAGCAGGCAGCTGCCATTGAGGCTCTGCCTCTTCCCCGTACTTAGATGTAATTAGTATATCTGTCAACACATCAAGGCTGGGGGCAAGACACAAACTCTAACTTACAAAGCACATACAGGCCGACCTCCGGGTTGTAACATGACTTGCCTGCCGACATGCATAGGTCTACATTAAAATGGTATGCCGCTGCCTGGCATCAAGAGCTAACCTACAGAACCAACTTGCTTGAGACTACAGCTCACAACTACGTCGAAATAGCGCAACAGACAGAGAGAGAGAGAGAGACAGAGAGAGAGAGAGAGAGAGAGAGAGAGAGAGAGAGAGAGAGAGAGAGAGAGAGAGAGAGAGAGAGAGGGAGGGAGACAGGCCAAATCGACACTTGCCTCGTTCACGTTCAACACTTCCGCTCCACGTTCGTAACACACGGCCCCTGAAACCCAGCTCCACCTCTCACTGTATTCATTGTTCACTGCCACGTCTCTGTTCTCTCACCTGCCCACCAAACCGGCTTCCTCCAATCGCCTCCCTATTTTGCAGCCACGACGAGAAGCGTTTGCAGTCGATTATGCTGCACGTTACAGTACGGCATATAGGAAATTCTCTCATCAGCTTTCCAACACATGACATCTTTTGCAGTGAGTGCAAAATGGAATGCAAAACATCCAGCCGCATCTAGCCACTGTCTTGCAGCTGAGGTCCCGCTGACTACCGCACACACACCGTGCACACTCGCACACTTACCCTCTGTCGCCTCTGTCCAGTTGAAATACAGTAGTTCCTTCGAAACACAACACAGGCTGGTCAAGTCTCAGCACCCAATTCCATACTGAAACTAGCCCAAACTCGGTCCGATGTGGGAAAGACACTTAGGTGCCACCCAAGAAAGCAAATTCTGAGCTCGAGCAGTATGTGTGCGCCCGTCTCGAAGCTCAAAACAGCGCAAAGGACAAAGATCAACGCATACATCAGAAAACGTCGAGTGATTGCATAGTTCGTTGACACAGACAAATGCAACAAATTCAGGGGTGCACAAACTTGCAGGTGTCAGACGCTCTGTACCCCAAGAAGAAGCATCTTCAGACCTGCAACTGACAGTGAGATCAGCAATATTATAAGAACAGCCGTGCCTCAAAGACTGGAAAGAGTTATCGAGAGAAGCCTTACGGTATCTGAAATTTCTTCAAGCAGTGCCGAAAACAAGCAAACAGGGCCGCCAAATCCATACTCACAGGCTCACAGTTGTCTCCAGGCACAAATCCCACCCATGCCTCTCTGGCCTTGCTTGCTGCTAGAGAGATAACTTGAATTGCTGAGGCCTAACTAAGGTGTTAAGGAGGTGAACAGAAGACAACATTTGAGGTTCAAAATGCTGGGCCTGGGTCTTCTTCCGACAGCAGCTAGGAAACAACTCAACCTACACATGACGGATGCCCTGCACTGTAACACACACACACACACACTGACAGACTGACTGATGCAAAGACAACACGTTCGGTACTCGTCACTTTCCTGGCCGGGTGGCTGGTGATGCCATTCGATATACAGCTCGGAGCCTGACTCAAAGAGTGCCCGTACCAGCTGGTGCTGAGGGGAGCTTGGCAAATGTTTAGGCCCAGTACTCTCGCAGCATGCTTTGTATTGCTCCGCATCGCTATAGATGAGTTCCACAACACTATCGTACACTCCTTTCGCTCCCGTGGTACAACGACGTCTAGGCTCGCTTGTCGCTGGAGTCTCCTACTTGGGATTACAAGTTCATTGTTTGATTTGTGCGTCAGGGGTGATGCTGGCCGGGTCTTCATTGTAATCACCGTGTTCACCGACAGGAAGACTGACATAGGGCCAAAACCAATCACAACAACAAGCAACGTGTAAGACCAATGTTGCAGAACCCTGCCTTGATAGAACTTCATGGTCCCCTTCGTGGCACCCTCCTTAGTCACGTCGTAGTTGTTGTTGCCGTCCTGACAGACACGCTCTCCGGCTAAGCAGGGTTTGTCTTCAGTTGGGCTGACGTGGTTAGAAGGTATTCAAGCATTTGGCCTGTTTGTGTTTTTGACTTTTCTGGCACTTCCACTGGCAAGCTGCTGTCGAGCTGACAGGATGTGTCTTGAGTGTTGCAGGGTGTAGACGCTCACTCACTCTCTCTCTCTCTCTCTGTCTCTGTCTCTCCCTGACTTTCGTAGTGGTATTGGTGATGATACTGGTAAAATGGTGGTACTGGTGTTTGTGGTGGTGGTGCTGGTGGTGGGGGTGGGGGGTAGGGATCGTGGTGTTGTTTGTGTTGGTGGTGGTCGTGGTGGTGCTGTAGCAGTGGCATTCGTGGAGACAATTAAGTACTAGTCGTCGTCGCAGTTGTGCTGGCAGCAACGTCTTATTCGTAGCAGTAGTAGAGGGGGTTGTCGTCGTGGTCATGACATCGAAACACAAGCTTTGGCCTGCCGATGCGGGATGCTCGCCGCAAGGGCAAGGGTGGCGGCGGCTGCGGTGGTGGTTGTGATGGTAATGCATGGTAGTGGTGCCGGCGTGACGACGCAGCTGTTGCTCCATTAAACGTCCAGGACTCTGTGCCTACACCCAGAAAAGTCCTGCGACCTAGATCCCAGTCCACATGAATCCAGCACGAATGCGGATTCGACCAAGCCTTGCAGGCGGGCTTGCAGTCATCTCCGATTTGGTAAACACAAGCGGCGTTGTTCTGGGAGTCAGGAGACCTGAAGCTCAAGATAGGGGCTGGCGGTGACTGCGGCGCGAACTGGGGCCGCAGCCATTGCGTCCGGAAACCCTCTGACACGCTGAACCCCAAGCTTAAACTTGAAACCCTCAGTGCCAAGGGGTCACCTTAATTGCCAAACCCCAAACCGAAGAGTATTTAATCGAAAGCCTGTTACCGTATCTAGTTTCAGCCCAACCTCAACCGGTTCCGTCTTCGCTTTATCCTCTACGAGTACCAGCTAGTATCATTACACTTGTTGCTTGCATCCTGCCGTTAGGACTACTGTACTTCCCAGTGCTACTGCCATCATCTATGTATATATGTAACTATGTATAAGCACATGCATATGTGTATACATATTTATAGTGTATATATATATGTATATATATATATATATATATATATACATATGTATGTATGTAAACAGAGTATTGTTGCACAGGTTCGGGGGAATACAAATCTGTTCATTATAGCGCTCGTAGGCTGGACTACAGTTGCTGGCTGCCCTCAGCTTATTACAATGCACGCCAAGCTGCGATTGGCGTTCTGCACGTTGTTGCTCTGCTCGCGCAGCTTGTTGTTGGAGCCGCGAGGGTCTCGGCTTCGAACACATGGACAAATCAGGCCCGTCGAACGTATCCAAGAGAAAAAGAAATGTCCCTCACTCTCTGCCGATGATGAGTCGCAACATTCATGAAGGCAGTGGACTCCTTCAGGAGTTGTCTATGGCGGAACGGGAGAGTGTATCAAATTATAGTTAAGACAGCGCAACGACAGCTCGGTAATCACGGTCAACGTCATCTTCGCCATGTCGCGATGCAGTCGTGCTCGACTAATTTTACGAGTTCCAAGGCCCCAGCTGTTCAGGCACATGTCCGCCTGGACCGAGCGTATCCCCAGCAGCATCCAGGCTGCAATGGTCGCCATGGCTGTGGGTTTCGAGACAGAGCTTCGAAAGCTTGCCATGTTTGCCATGCTTGCGTGGCGATGCCAGGGAAGCAGCACTTGGTTGGCTGCAAAGGGGGCCGAAATTCTGGGGTCACAAAACAGCGGCGGATCCACGAATCCACACATCACTTCGCTGCCCTTTCTCCTGACTCGAACCGTCTACACTCTTTCGCATAAGCCTATGGCCCAAAGACTCTTTCTACCTTGAAACTTTATTTCGGATCCCAGCGGCATGGTACAGCAAACAACGACAGAGTCGTTCGGATGTATGTTGTACTGGCAGGGCAACTTCTCAAGTGCTGCCGTGTTCCCCGGGATCTACTTTCTTCTGCCACTTCACAGCAATGTCTCCCTCAGTACCAGCTAGGATGATCGTGTTGACTGCTGATCTCATGACTTCGAGTGCCACTTCAAATCTTGCCGCTACTACTACTACTACTGCTGCTGCTACTACTACTACTACTACTACTACTACTGCTACTACTGCTACTGCTACTACTACTACTACTACTACTACTACTACTACTACTACCACTACTACTACGACTACGACTACGACTACGACTAAGAATAATAATCACAATAATGGTAATACTACTTGTACTGCCACCACCACCACCACCACCACCACCACCACCACCACCACCACCACCACCACCACCACCACCACCACCACCACCACCACCACCCATGATCAGCCTCATAACAAGAGTACTCGTGATGATAATGAACGAATGCTGCCGCCGATGCTGTTGTAATGGCTGTTGTCAGCTTAACATGGTTATCATGACACTCCAACTTGAGCATGATGATGTTGGCCCTTGCTCCACTGCGAGCAATTTTGTTGAATGTAGTTGCCAGCCTTGCTACACAGCTGAGCAAGATGGTGCGGACACATAAGACATGTTGACGCATATGAGGATGACATTTTGTTTCCTCATCACTCGAACGGGATCTGCTACCATCCGAAACATCCCGAGACCTGCTTCGTCGCTCTGCAAGAAAGCCTGAGCTCCAAATCACCGTACCCATACTCTAGACTCGATGCCAAGTCTGAGCAAGGCAGGGGCAGGACCCGTTGTCGGAGAGCTTTCATGACGCCTTTCGCGGCCTTCACTTCATCCTGCACTACGCCGGGCACTCGTAGTAGTGGTGGCAGGTTGACGGTGGTAGTGGTGGCGGCAGCGCTACTATCGATGGAAGCACCCGCTAAGTTGCCGTAGATGCTACACAACGGGAACACTATTCGTGAAAGTCGTATAGCATCCAAACCCAAGGAGCTGGAGACTGCACAAACGCAGGCAACCAGCAGTGCAACAAGTAGTATAACAACACCTCGTAAACATAAAGAAGTCTTGCTTCCATGACCTATGTTGATCGGACTGTGCCGATGCAAGCTTCTGCAGTGTCTCAACAGTGACACCCACCTCCGCCTTCTTGTGTTCAGCTTCGGCAGCTTCTGCCTTTAGTTCTCGGGAGCACAAAATGCGAGTTCAAAATTAGATAGTTGTACATTCTGGCCCCTTTGGGTTTCTTATAACTTATAACAACATAAACTCTGCTTGATTCCTCGATTGGAACACAGCATCTCAACACAAGCTCCACTCCATTCCTGAGACAGGCTTGGAGGATAGATACCTGTGAGTTGAGTGGGATTTCGGGTGACGATTCACGAGCTAATTGGAGGACGATTTCGTTTCGTGCAGCCGCTGCCACGCTAGTGTATTCGAACATACACCTGAGTCTATAGACATTCATTAAGGGACCATCCGCCTAGGACGCTACGCTGACCCTCCATACCCAAGCCATGCAGTATTAGGATTCGGTCCGCTTCGTGCCTCGGTTTGGAACTGCGGAGCAAAAAGACTGGACTCATAAATCGAAATCACGGGCCTTCTGGGGATTATGCTCTGATGATGGAAGCACCCGCGCACAAAGACATATACAAACAAAATGGCACTGTCGGGGCAAGTATGCTACAAGAGTCTGGCACGTACCCTTCCTCAGGTGCAGTCACTGTGGCCTCCATCGCAGTCCTACACCTAAAGCCAAAAGCCCAGACTCAGAATCCTCATCAAGCCACAACACCCCAATGCACTGCACAACCTTCAGTACGTGGAATGTATCCTGTGCAAAGACCGCAGCATCTGACCCACCAATCGCCTTCTCTCGACAGACGTCGGTCAACGCCTGATGCCACTGCGAGGCGCTTCGAAAGGTTTGCTGGATTCAAGGCACAAAACTTGGGAACTTCATGATGCATGGTTGCAACCACGCATGGTACTCATGAAGACATGCTCATGACTCATGGTGCAACTGTTGCAAGGACGCTGGTTCTTGCAATCAAGACTGCCATGGTCGGCGGCGGATCTGCGACGAATGATTGTTGAGCTTTGCGGTGCATTCATTTAAGGTTCGGCCTGTTAGGTAGCTTGTCACTTCCGCGCCTAAGCCGCCTTGAACTCGGACCCCTTCGAACCCTCAGCTCAATAACACGAAAAATACCAGGAAAGCCCTGACCACAGAGCGGAACCCACAACAAACTTGAGACACCGTGTCTGTCTGTGAATATTGATGCCATCATGGCATTTAAAATTTAAGTACTTCCCGATATGCCCGTCACAGCTTAGTCAAACGACACTCCCAATGCCTCAAACGTCTTAGTCGTGTTTCCTTGAATCAGCAAGCAAAGACACGGGTTTGACGCTTCCACTGGGACCCTCTCAGCTCAGCACCCAGAGCCCGAGAAGCTCGGCTCGTGCCTACAACGCGTACTTCGGGTCTCGGTATAGTCAGGCCGAGACATGAGCTTTTTCAGGGCTTTGGGTCTCAGATTCAGAGTAATGACACTCTGCATCCGTTCATGTTGGGGATCCGATTCAAAACGCTGTCCTATAAGCATCCCGAAGAGGGAGGGGCGTCCCTTTCAAATGCCCTCTGCGAAAGGGCCCTAGACCCAGTGTTGGTCATGCTTCATCCGGAAGTGACGGAAGGCTCTGCAAGAGTCCAACAGACCCAGAGGAAAAAGTCTGAGTTGTGGAGGTTAAGGTTGAGAGTTGCTGTGGTTGTTGTTGCTGTTGTTGCTCAGTGTGCGTTCGGGTTCCTTTGTTGACGTGGTTCAAGCAGACGTCGGTGCTGTTTTGGGAATGTCGGAGGGAGGAACTTTGTTTCGGAACTTGGTGGTGTCTCCTTTGCCGGCGACAGGAACCAGGGCTACATGAACAGGGCAATCGGTTCGGCATTGCAACGTTTACGTGGGAAGGCGATGTTGATCAAACGACTTAAGCCTGATTTTTGGCATGAAGTGTGTGGTCACCTCGACCTGAAACAATCGATACAGAATGACCGTAGTAGACCCGAAAGCAGGGTTCCATCTGTATGGAGGTCCCGGTGCCTCCTTCTCTGCAGGGGCTCGTGCTGCAAGGACCTCCTCCGATCGAGTTATTGTGAAACGGGTGTCGAGACATGCTTACTAGGTCTGGGCAACTAGAATGCGTGTGTCCAGACGGAGGCTGGGGTCTCAAACTCAAGTGTTCCGACTTTGGCGATTGGGGTTTGTGGCAATTGGTGATGACTTCGGAAAAAGCCAAACATTCTATGAATATCTATAGGATAATACGAATGGGCCGGATTCCCTGAAGCTAGTGGGATGTTATGTCCGGCCGCAAGCTGCGCATGTGAATGGGTGTGATAGATGGCTTACATTGCTACCAGGCATCGGCCTCTAAATGAGAAAACACATACATACATACATACATACATACATGCATACATGCATGCATACATACTTACCCACCTGCCTACAGACGTACATATGTGACATACATACATACATACATACATACGTACATACGCACATACGTACATGCATACACACATACGTACATACATACATACATTGACATGCCAAACAAACAGGCATACATACATACACCTATATACATACAGAGACGACGGTCAACATCGACTGACCCCTCATTCAACTCACAAGACCGTCTAGAATTCGCGACCGATCTTCGCTCCTCGAGTGAGCGTCGCTTCTCTGCCAAAGCCTCGGTGATGGAGTCGATGGCCATCTGAGAGTGGAAGCTGCCAGGCTGTTGGTTGACGTTGCGAGATTCAGCTTTAGATCTGAGGTCTCGGAAGCTTCGGCTGGTGTAAAGGACCGAGGGCGAAGTCAATCGATTTGGGGATCGAGGCTTCAGGTGGAGCCAAGCAATTCCACGTTGACAGCATTCGGAACCTCAGGATTTGTCGAGCCCTGGAGCTTGTGTTTTCAACTCTGTCTTGAGATGTTGGTGCCTTGGGCGTCGACTCTTGAGCATGTCTTTCTGCAGCAGAGCAAAGGATCCAATGGCAACACTGCAAATCTTCGATATTTAAGTGTCTTGCTGTCTGTCTGTATCTCTGTCTCCGTGTCGGTGTCAGTGTCTCTGCCTGTGTGTCTTGTTGTTCGTTGCCTCTCCGTCTCGTCTCTTTCTCGTTCCTCGTTTGTTCCTCTCTTTCCCTCTCTCTCTCTCTCTCTGTCTCTGCTGTCTCTGCCTCTGTCTCTGTCACTCACGCCTCCTAAGACAAGCGCAACTGTCCGAACAAGTGCGGGCACATGTACTTGTCGCGCATGCGATATTAGCCTTCTCTGTCCCTGTCTCACGCTCACATGTCGTTTGCACTCGTCGCATGCTGCTACTTGCAAATTCAATCCGAAGTCACGATCCCAGAGGCATGTCGGAAAAGATGCAAGGCCGTCTTCGCGGAGACAGGTTCCTACACCTGATACGAAAATCAGAATGAGTTTGGGAGTAGGGATGAGTAGGGACTCGGCCAAACTCGACCAAACCCTACCCAAACCAGGAACCTCAAGCCAGCAAACTCAGAACCTCCAGCAGCTGCCACCTTGTCGAATGTCCCGCGCTTGTCAGGGGCAACACCAAGGCCATCTGCTGCAGCCACCAGTGTCTTCTCAACCTGGATTTCCTGGATGTATCAGGTCAGGGTAATTCGGGCCTCAGATCTTCAGTCAGATTTCGGGCTCCAAGTTTAAGTTCAACTATGCTGGAGTGCTTGGCAAAAGACGAAAAAAAAAGATCTACATACCTCCCGAAGACGTTGTCCTTCCGAGCTGTCGGTCGGTTTAGGTTTTCCGCCTGATGCGCTTAGCAAGCGGGATGGCTGTCAAGCGCCAAACAGATATGTATATGCCAATAGAAACCGTCTGTTCCCAGGAGTTTTAATCCCTTCCCCCTATCATTAAACCCCCCTAATATAAAAACTCCCGGCCCCCGGAATTTCGCGATTTCGGGCCCACAATTAAAATTCAATTAAAAGCAGTATATAAGGGGGGGTGCTAGGATTGTATGAGTTTTAATAGAGCCAAAGATTACAGCTGTACTAAAGACAGTAGAGCTTTAGGGTTTAAGGGTTTAGGGCTCAGGGCTAAAGCTTTAGGGCTTGGGGCTTTAGGGCTTAAAGTTTAGGGCTCAGGGCTTTATAGAGTCAAAGATTACAGCAGTACTAAAGACAGCAGAGCTTTAGGGTTTGAGGGTTTAGGGCTCAGGGCTAAAGCTTTAGGGCTTGGGGCTTTGAAGCCTAAAGTTTAGGGCTCAGGACTTTAGGGTTTGGGGCTCGAGGTTTAAGGCTTAGGGTTTTAAGTCTTAGGCTGGAGAATTGGTTGTTTTGTTTTAATATTAGGGGGTATTGTTCGGGAAATAATTAACTAAGGGTCAGGATCATTCGCAAGTCTGCAGTTGTAGGGTTAGGAGAACCAGCATCTAGGACGTGGATGCACCGAACCGAAACCCCCCCTAATATATAAACTAAACCTCCCAAATCCAGTTTTAATATTAGGGGGGGCCCTTAATACTACTCGTACGGGGAAGGGATTACTTCCTCTGGGGTAAGAAGAAAATTTGAGATGGCTGCGTTTCTTCAACGTGGCCTTGGCTCCACAGTCCCATCATCAGCAGAGGTAGTCTCGAACCAAACAGGCAAACATATTTTCCAACCTGCTCGTTTACAGATCTTCAATGAA